TTTGCTTGAAAGAAAATCACTTCAGCAATTAATCAATTGTGAAACTAACCTATTAAATTTCTGTCCACTAACTGATAATTAAATCCGACTACTCGATCTAATTGCGCTTTGGTGCAGACCATAACCTGTGATGAAGGCACGAGTAGACACTGCTTAAGGGTTCACAATCCAAAACTTTTTGGAAACAATGCACTAATGCTACAGCATACTGTATTAAAAAAAGATTTTTTTTTTTTTTCAGCAAAAACACACTTTGCGTCTGTGCTTGGATAAATAAATGGCTGTGAGGCACAGTGACCTGTGCCTTGACCGTGTAGAGAATTGACTGCTTTTTTTAACTCTCATAGCATGATTAATGGCTTTGGAAGCAAATGTAATTGTGAGGCAAATACCACAGATCTGTGGCCTAATGTGCAGAGCAACGTTGCTCTGTACTAAATGTGCAATCAAGACATCAATCAAGAATTCCAATCAATTATTTAAAGGACTGGCACAGCATTGCAAGTCGTTCAGAGCGACATTATTTTAGGCTCTCCTTTGCAAACATTCTGAAGGAGAGGTTAGTGTTTGCAGTTGTTCAAGTGTGCGTGTCTGTGTGTGTGTATGTGTATGTGTATGTGTGTGTTTGTGTGTGAGTGAGTGATTGTGTATGTGTGTTACAATCAATACCTCAGACAAGTTGATAGTCTTTCAGACTCATTACTTCTGAATGAATTTTCCCCCTTTCAGCCCTTCCCCACACTCTCTCTCACTCCATTTCTTAACTCACAAACACACACACAAACAGAGCACCACCTCTCTGATTTATTTTCCATTTAACTTGTGCTTAATGAGTGTACATTGTATTTTATCCTGTCTCACTTACAGGTGACAGTCTGACAAAAGAGGTGCTCTTTGTGATAGGCTCCTCACCTCAGTGAGAGTTACTCGGCTGGGGCTGGAGCCAAAGCTCTGTCCTGTGTGTGTGAATGAGCCCCAGCAAAGCGAGCAGACACCTTTCCTCTGTGCCAGTCACTCTGCCTGATGTCTTTGTCCACTCTGTCCTGTCTGGCCATTCTGCTGCAATGGGGGGGGGGCACTGCATGCAGCCAGTGTCATGTACAGCATGCCATCACTTCCATCTCAGGCCACTATTGATCTGTCTCATGATCTAATCCCCTGGCTCTGCGCTGCTGTCGGGCGCACTTCGATCTTCCCTCAGTGTGTTACCACTGCAGCCGCTGGCCTGTTGATGTCTTTATGAACCTGTCCACAGCACACGCCACCCTGCATTTCCTCCACAAACAATGTTCTTAACACAGTGTGTGTGTGTGTGTGTGTGTGTGTGTGTGTGTGTGTGTGTGTGTGTGTGTGTGTGTGTGTGTGTGTGTGTGTATGTGTGTGAGAGAGTGTGTGTGAGTGTGTGTGAGTGATGGTTTGTGTGCAGACACATATGTGTGCATGACCAACCCTTGGGATATTGCCCATTCGATTCGAACCAGCCGTGACCCTGGGAGAGTGTGAGGTGATTTTCATCCTTGGCTTGCTCCACCACTGAAGCAGCCTCACTTCCTCATAAATACTTCAGGTCCTCGGCGTTCAAGGTTTAAAGTGATTTCCCTAAAATTAAGTTTCTGAGCTTGGAGTAATCCATCACTGCCATTTACTCTGCTTCCAGACAGGGTTTTTCTTTACAGGTTTATTAAATTAATACCTTTTCTGCCTGGCTTATAGGAGAGGTCTGAGTGAATTATGATTCCACACAGTACGAGTTAAATCATGATTTTCAATCCTGAAGGTAAGTGAGGTGTCTCTTGGATTGTGCGCCACTCATTCTGCCTTTTAACTAATGGTCCACAAATGTCCAGTGACTGTGTGTTAGGCGTATCATTAGGTAAATGTTTCTTTTCCTTGGCTCTCCTCCACTGGCAGATGGGGTTTGACATTGTTCCTTGGGAACAGATTGGTGCTGGGGAAAGTCTCTATGGTATCTGCTAATGATACCATTACCCTCCACCACCTCTTTGTCACCCCAGGTGTTGAGCTCCTAATCTGTTGGCATTGGCTGGTACAGAGGGTTGCTGCAGAGGGCTGAGTGCACCAGTTAGCCTCTGGGAGAGCATTGACACAGCATGGCAGAGCTCCAGCCTCTCTGCTGACCTTGGTGAAGGATGGAGAGGATGTGTAGCTGTGCTACACCGGAGGTTCAGCTACTCCTGCAAAATGACACCACTTAGATGGATCACCTCCATCTTTTTCACTTCAGAGGATAACTCCACTTTATTACATTTTAGGTATTATTTTTTATAGTTTTGGCCATGATTCCGATTGGTTATGGTATTCAAAACAGGGATCACTTCAGGGCAGCCCAATTGGCCACAAAACAGGAGACCATTAGATAAGTCATAAACAAGCCAGCTTTTTTGAAGCACCAGAAGTAAGCATGCCCAAAATGTTAATGGTAACCCCTCATTGCACAAGAACAGTAGGTCACAGTTGCACCAGAAAGTCAGTCAGTAAACTTTGATGGATTATAATAATTGACAGTTTGAATAATAATTTTACCATTCACCTTTCTTTTCTCAGGGGAAACAATTTGTCAATCAATCAATTGACAAAATAATCATCAGCAACTATTTTGATTATTAATTTTTGAAGCAAAAATACCAAACATCCTCTATTTCCAGTTTTTCAAACAAGAGGATTAGCTGCTTTTCTTTTATAGTGAACTCAGTATCTTTGGGTTTTGGACTGCGGCTTGGACAAAACATCTCAACACCTCAAGTTGTGGTACAGAAAATAATATTTTTCTGAATTTTCTGACCATTACCGTTTGAGAAAATTATCATTGGTTGCAGCCCTAATTCCAGATAGGTTTAGCTAACTGTGGGTTTGTTAAAACATATATGACCTTTTGACTGCTCATGTTGCATGCCCCATTGGACTTCTTTAAAGCAATATTGACACATTCATAAATCTGAGCAATTAACTTTCTAGGCACGGTGCTATTGTTACCATGATGGCCAAACTCAGACAAATAAAATTCAAGTTATAAAAAGCCGGAATTAATCTTTAACTCAATCAGGATCTTCTTCTGTTCTTTCCTTTTCATTCTTTCTTGTCCAACTCTCCCTCCTTCCTCTCTGGCTCTCTCTCCAGTTCACTTTTGGATGAGTCCCAATGCCTTTGAACCGGCTACACCCCGCTTCCTCTCTCCGTGTTTGCCGCCTTCATTCTGAGCTGAGGCAAGAGGGAGAGTAGAATAAATTGCATCCTCCCTTGTCCTCTGACAGATATTGCCTGTAGCTTTCCTCCTATGGGGGACAGGTGACAACGGATCGCTGCTATTTTCTGCTAAGGAACATTCTGCCTTTCTCAGTGTTGCATCTGAGAAAGGACAGCACCTAGCCGCCACGCCCCCCCCCCACCACCACCACCACCACCACAACCACACACACACACACACACACTCACCCACCATGCTCACACACGCACCTCTCTTTTTTATCATCTGGTTTTCTAAGAGTACATCTGAGTAGTGTGTGTGGAATGCAAAGCTGTGACAGGAAGGGGAAGCCCTGTGTGCCTCCTGGAGATTTGTCATTATTTATTGACCATAAATCCTCAGGAGTCTCAGTCAGTCACAGTCTCTGATTGGAGGAATTTGAAGCAAAGAGTAGGAATGGATTTAAGGCAGGTCTGACACTCGCATCCTCAGGCTCAATGCTCCTGGACAAGGAACAAGCACACCGGGACACTCCAAACTGATGGAAAATATATTGCAATGTGGAGGGATATGTATAAGCTGTAGCTGCTAAACCACTAGTAGGAATGACAGCATGTATAACGCACCAGTTCTAGGAATAAAAATTATGAATGATCCAGATTTGTCTCTCATCCCTTCACTCTGATGTTCTCTCAGCAGGTACAAACACTGTCATGGAAAAATCAGATGAAGGCATTGTCATTCAGTTAAGCAATGATCTTTTTGACTGTGTGCGACTGAATCCTCCAGATGGTGCACATGCAACCCCACTGTCATGCTGGGAGAGCTATACCATGCAGCCAGCCACCTAGCTAGTCACTTATCCAGAGGTAGTGAGTTAATTACCCGCCAGGTTGTTAGCACGTCAGTCACCCAGTTTGGCAAACAGTCAGCCAGTCAGCAAGCCACAGTTCCACCCCGAGACCCGTCGTGTCACCCAGTGAGGCAGCAGGGAGGAGAATTAAGCATGCAAGATTCTAATCTCTCAGGAACCACACTTTACTGATTTTGAGGCTATACTTGTGTAATACAGAGAGTACAGAACAGCTACCACCTCCTCTGTGGATGCTCTGATATTTCAGGCATTAAATATATTAGTGCTACATACTGTATACAAGCATGTTCTGAGATGCTGGGACAAAAACAAATTATTTAATGCTTGAATATGGATTATAACAGATGTCATGTAATCTGTTTCCAAAAATAGGCACAAACAACGTAATGGCTGTTGTAGTAGGTAGAGTAGGCCTACACTGCCAGATGATGGTATAATAGGAGGGCTCTAATAAGAAGAGGACAGTCGCAGAAATGAGGAGATGAGGCAAAAGGGGCAAATGACACCCTGGATTCATGCATAGAATTAACTCATGCTAATATATTATCTCATCGCCAGCAGAATTTATGCAATTATGCTTTGCATTGAATTTAAGTGTAAATTAATTTCAGCATGCACGCTCCTGCAGTTGTATGATTTGTATGCAGAATAGTGCCCTCTGCTGAAAATCATTTAGGAGAACGTTGACTGAAAACCGAGCCAAGTCAAGGTTGAATACACCTCACGATTTGTGTATCCTGACGTTTCTTGTGTTTTATTGATTTGACCTCGCAGGCCGGCTGTCAGATCTGCTCTCTGTTACCAGTATTACATTTTAAAATAACACCACAACAAGACACACCATTTATCTTTGTACCCACAGCTCTTCTAACCGCCTCCCTTTCTCTGTCTCTCACCCCCTCTCCCCATCCCCCTGCTCAGGTCGAACTGGCTGAAGCCGTGCTGTGGAAGAAGGGCAGCGCTGTGGCAAGTCTGTCTGCTGTCGGCAGGCTTCAACTGTTTCCTGGTGGCCTGCGTCATCCTGGTGGTGCTGCTGCTGACGCTGGAGCTGCTCATAGACATCAAGCTGTTGCAGTGTGAGTACTAGCAACAATGTGACGTCTGCTGAGATTATCAATATGATATGGTTGTGGTTTCTTTGGCTATAATATTGGTGAGGTGGTTTGTTATGCTCATTGTTTACAGTCTTGGCCGGCAGTAGTGTTCTTATAGGGGGAGAAAAGTGGACTGCTCAGCACAATGGTTTACAAATTGTTGCACAAAGGCACTGGGCCAATGTATCGACTCAAATAAAGACCTCACACAAAGTAGACCTTAATTAGCACAAAAGCTAAGCTGCAAGGAAGATCACGCACTCATAAAGGTTACAGTAGAGTAAATGGCAGACATATATAGAAACTTTTTCTCAACAGTGTTACAAGAATTGGTTGTGGAAAAAGTTTATAGGTGAAGGTGCACCTTTAATTAAGGACAGGCACACGATGATGGCACATGATGCTGTAAATGAACAACAACAAGGACAGTGTTTGTGGGTGAAAGAAGATAAATCAATGTGCAACAGGTACGTAATCATGTGCAGAAGAATGTAAACACTAGCTGCTAACACGGTCTTATACATCTACTGTATAATGAGTCTATGTCACCAATGATCTATTCTGGGACCTTAGGCGCTGATCAATCATGGCCAGGGGAATATAACCCTCCTCTTAGTATTCCACAGTTAACAGTTGTGACCCGTGTCACCCCAGTATTGCCTTCGTCCTCATCATCTGGCTGGGTGGATCGGCCTCATCGATCATAAGCAGAGGGTCAGGGGTTGTGACCTGTTTGAGGTCAGAGAGCTGACTGGAGAACATATATTGTACCTTTACTGTTCCTCTGGAGCTGACAGGCTGAAAGACGAGAGGCGCATAAGTGAGATGAATGCGTGAAGGGAGATTAGCTGACAAAGAAATCAGGCAATACAGAGTCGGCTGGTGGATGAGTGTGGGGTTTGACTGGAGGAAGATCAATGGACTGATAGACAGATCACTGAATATGGCAAACAAAGATAGATGGGGGTTGGAGGGTGGCGTGGGGGTGTGAAGAGAAATTCCTCACATGACAGCCGAGTGCTGTTTGTCCACAAATAGCCTGATGAGTAGACAGGAAGATACAGACACATGCATGTACAGTATGTGGTGACTTCATATCTACCATGTTACATCATGCCTCTGTCTGTGCGTTTATGTAGGTGTGTGTACATGGATGCGTCTATATTTAAACCACTTTACTGCACCTTGTCAATGTTCGGCAGTAGGTAACAGCTGTTTGAAACAAGCAAAAAACAAACATACAAAAAAAAAAAAAAAAACACTAGTTATTCTGTTTCATCCCTACAGTTAATAATGCATTCCAGTTTGCCAGCATCATCCACTGGATCAGCCTGGCCATCCTCTCCGTGTTCTTCACCGAGGTGAGTCTCTGTCGACTCCCTGCTCAACACAAAAACAGTCTCTCTTACAGCTGATACAGCGGCCCTTCGATTAATGCTATGTCGTGCAGTATGTGGGGCCAGTGAAGTACACCGACACATTCTCATTATAATACTAACAGCACTGAAATGCCCCATGCCCTCTGTCGCCGCATGATTAGATTCTGATTAGCGGAGGTGAACTTGTGTACAGCTCCATTGATGGTGGACCTAATGGAAAGATTAAAAATCATACAACAAAGATATACGTCAGTATTTTGAGACTTATGTAACTGCTGCTGCTAAAGCTGACACGCTTGGTCCCTCTCGGGTTATTCGATTGATCCGCAGCACAAACACTTTAAAATGCACATGGAGCTTTTCTGTGCCACTAGCTTTAAATAATTTCACGGCCTCAGGTGTGCCGTATCGATTACCATTCTCTTTACAGCCAGCTGCATTTGTCTTAGTTCCCTACACTTGATCACTTCAATGCTAACTTTTTTTTTTCTTTTTTTTTTTTTATGAAGCTGGAGTTTTCCTTATCAATATAAGCAAGCCCTTAGTGCCACGTTGAAGCAGTGGAAACAGCAGGGAGGCTGGTTTCTGCTTCAGTGCAACCTTGACTATCTGAAATGAAGATGGGGGGGGGTTAGGGGATGGTAGAGGAGGAACAGAGAGAAAGAGAGAGAGAGTTGTTTGCCCTCTACAGCCCCTGCTGTGTCAGCAGAAGGAGCTAAATGTGGTGTCTCTAATTGTTTTGATGAAATCCTATCGTGCGGCCTTGTGATGTGTATGAATATGATGTCATTGATGAATTACCAAGGGAGGGACGAAAGGAATCTGAATTGCAACTGCAAATGCTATTAACTACCCAACATGCTCCATCATCCAGTCTGTCTCAGTTTAGCTGTCCTTGTTTTTCTTCCATCTTACCCTGTGTGTAACCTGCTCTCTGGCTCCATCTCTGTCCCCCTGTCTGTCTCAGACGGTGTTCAGGATCGTGGTGTTGGGGATATGGGATTACATAGAGAACAAAGTAGAGGTAAGCTCCCATGGGTCCCATTAGTCCTGACTCGGGGCCCCTTTCACTGCAGTGTCATTCCCTCAATGTCATACCTCAATATGGATACTGTGGAAACTACAGACACAACAGTGTGTGTGTGTGTGTGTGTGTGTGTGTGTGTCTGTGTGTGTGTCTGTGTGTGTGTGTGTGTGTGTATTTTATCAGGTGTTTGATGGAGCTGTCATCGTCCTCTCTCTGGCCCCCATGGTGGCCTCCACAGTGGCCAACGGCCCCAGCAGCCCCTGGGACGCTATCGGTCTCATCATCACACTGCGCATCTGGAGGGTCAAGAGGATCATTGATGGTGAGGCTGGGAGGGGCTGGGGGCTGCTGTCCCCTGAGTCCTGTCCTTTACTGTCAGGTAAAGGACAGGACGCAGGAGACAGACGGATACTGCAGTGTGCTCTCTGCGGTGTTGGTAACATTCAATCTTGAGGTTGTTTGCTCAGTTATTTTTTCCTCCTTTTTTTAAAAATAAGTTTTCACCAGAAATGATGGTAGCACATCATTTGTTGTAATGTACCTGTGGTTTCAATGCTCACACAATAGCTGCTACATGAAAAATGATTTTATCATATAGGTGCATACTGAGCATTACATTTATTGGGAAGAATGCTTTTCTTTAACAATGTTGCTCCCCCTGGTGGTTTCTGAATATAATACAGTACATGTTCAAAGGGATGATTGGTTAGTGTGAGCTATCACCTCCAACACTAGCTCCTCAAAAGATATTATGTAAACACATTAAAACACAATCCAATACAGCTACACCACAAACATAAATAACATGAGCACCTTTTCTGACACAACGTCAACAAAAAGTTCAACATGACTGAAGTCTCACAGAGGTGCCGTTGTTTGCAGGATCATAGCGATGTCACTTTGTCCACCTTGTGTACAGCATGTTGGTTGCAGATCCTGAGCCAGTAAGTGTGGACAATATGCAAGTTTTTATTTCAACAAAACTGTGGCTAACAGCGTATAGAAGATCCACTTTTGGATCTTTAGGAGGAATTAATTAATCAATGTAATATTTAGTTGAAATTAAGCTGGTCTTTTGAAGGAAAACTCACTATCCTTTACCCTGTTGTTCTAGCCTATGTGCTGCAAGTGAAGGTGGAGATGGAGCTGGAGATCCAGCAGTATGAGAAGGCAAAGGCGGTGAGGGAGGAACAGCTTGACCGTCTCACTCAGATCTGCCAGGAACAGGCCGTATGTCCTCTCATCCGTCTCATATCTCCTACGTACTTACAGTCCACACATTATTTATTTTTTCTTCATTCAACCAGCAGAGGGCAGCAAAACACTATACAAGGAAAGAATAAAATAAAATCTCTTCTCAAAAAGGCATAAAAGATGTCTGCAAAATTCATCTCATATTATCACTAGATTTTTACAACAGTCTTGGGGATATCAGATAACCAGTACTGTGCATTATCTCAAAGCAATCTATTCACCTATACACAATTTGATAATCTAGTGTAGCTTCAAGTGCATCCACTAAGTGCTCAGAAATGTCTACTGTATGTCTGAGAGTCATATTGCAACTATTAGAGAGACTGGAATGTGCAGTTTGGCATATGCACACTGTACTGTGTATGTAAAGGTTAGCTATGATGCAAGCAATACAGCCAACTCCTGAAACCACAGGCATGAAATGCAAATAAAATGTTTGGACATAGTTGGATGGCATATTAGCAAAGAATATACAGTATGTAGTTAGTGTCCTAAAAATGCCTGTGTGTAATTACACTGAATTTCTTAACGGAGAATAAGAGTTTTCTCTAATTCTCCCATTTAGTGGGGAAGGTAGGCAAAACAATTGTGCATTTTATGACTAAAACGTGAAATTTTCAGAATATAATCTACATACCCCAAAGTTTTATTTCAGACGTAGAGGCAATTTGTATCTGACCTCTGGTGACCTTGGGAGGTCATTAACCTCAGCATTAAATTTTTCCAGTTTTGGCCCCATTTCTCCATTATAATCATTCATATATTTGCCAAAATTGCAGACAGATGTGCATTTGCTGCTGTGGCCATGTATCATAATTTTGCTTAGAGCACAGATTTTGCAGGGGGACTGCAACCCCACCATTTCCAGGTGTTAAGGTAGCTATGGCTTATGAAAAACACTGACAACTTCTGCTCTGTGTTCTATAGAATTACATGACTAGCTAGCACATTAGCAAACATTCTCATCAGAAGCTAGCATGCTAGTTTGGTCTGGACCACACTCATTACTCCAGGGGGCTCTGCCCTGTCCCAGAGGTCACATCTGGAATGGCTCAACATCTGAAAACAAACTTAATAGTTTATGGTAACACTGGAGAAAGTTTCATGCTTTAGTGATAAAATGCACAATAACCTCCATATACAAGCTTATAAACAACATCATAGTATAGTAGGTAATAAAAAACATCATAATATAGTACAGCTTAAAGAAAAGTCTTATTATAGTAAAACATAAAAACGTCACACTATAGTAAGTCATAAAAACGTCATTGTATGGTAAGTCATAAAAACGCCATAGTATAGTAAGGCTTAAAAGGTCATAGTATAGTAAGGCATAAAAATGACAAAAAAATGTCAATGTATATTAATGCATTAAAATGTCAAAAAACGTAATAATATAGTAAGGCATAAAAGGTCACTCTATAGTAAGGCTTAAAAAAATTTCATATTATAGTAAATCATAAAAACATGATGGTATAGTAAGGCATAAAAACGTCATAGTATAGTAAGGCTTAAAAAAATTTCATATTATAGTAAGTCATAAAAATATGATGGTATAGTAAGGCATAAAAACATAAAAACATAAAAACATCATAATATAGTAAGACATAAAATGTCGTAGTATAGTAAGGCATAAAAATGACAAAAAACATCATTGTATATTAATGCATTAAAATGGCAAAAAACCTCATAGTATAGTAAGACATAAGAGGTCATAGTATAATAAGGCAAAAAAACGACAAAAAACATCATTGTATATTAATGCATTAAAATGGCAAAAAACCTCATAGTATAGTAAGACATAAGAGGTCATAGTATAATAAGGCAAAAAAACGACAAAAAACATCATTGTATATTAATGCATTAAAATGGCAAAAAACCTCATAGTATAGTAAGACATAAGAGGTCATAGTATAATAAGGCAAAAAAACGACAAAAAACATCATTGTATATTAATGCATTAAAATGGCAAAAAACCTCATAGTATAGTAAGACATAAGAGGTCATAGTATAATAAGGCAAAAAAACGACAAAAAACATCATTGTATATTAATGCATTAAAATGGCAAAAAACCTCATAGTATAGTAAGACATAAGAGGTCATAGTATAATAAGGCAAAAAAACGACAAAAAACATCATTGTATATTAATGCATTAAAATGGCAAAAAACCTCATAGTATAGTAAGACATAAGAGGTCATAGTATAATAAGGCAAAAAAACGACAAAAAACATCATTGTATATTAATGCATTAAAATGGCAAAAAACCTCATAGTATAGTAAGACATAAGAGGTCATAGTATAATAAGGCAAAAAAACGACAAAAAACATCATTGTATATTAATGCATTAAAATGGCAAAAAAACTCATAGTATAGTAAGGCATAAAAACGACAAAAAACGTCATTTTTGTAATGCATTAAAATGTCAAAAAACGTAATAATATAGTAAGGCATTAAAGGTCACACTATAGTAAGGCTTAAAAAAATTTCATATTATAGTAAGTCATAAAAACATGATGGTATAGTAAGGCATAAAAACGTCATAGTATAGTAAGGCATAAAACATCATAGTATAGTAAGGCTTAAAAAAATGTCATAGTATAATAAGGCATAAAACGTCATAGTATAGTAAGGCATAAGAATGACAAAAAACATCATTGTATATTAATGCATTAAAATGTCAAAAAACCTCATAGTATAGTAAGGCATAAAAACATCATAGTATAGTAAGGCATAAAAGGTCATAGTATAGTAAGGTATAAAAATGACAAAATCATCATTGTATATTAATGCATTAAAATATCAAAAAACCTCATAGTATAGTAAGGCATAAAAGGTCATAGTATAGTAAGGCATAAAACATCATAGTATAGTAAGGCATAAAACATCATAGTATAGTAAGGCATAAAAATGACAAAAAACGCCATTGTATATTAATGCATTAAAATTCAAAAATCCTCATAGTATAGTAAGGCATAAAAATGACAAAAAACGCCATTGTATATTAATGCATTAAAATTCAAAAAAAGGCCTAGTATAGTAAAGTAAAAAAATGTCAAAAAACGTCATTGTATATTAATGCATTAAAATGTCAAAAAACGTAATAGTATAGTAAGGCATAAAAAGGCAAAAGAATAGAAAGGCTTAAAAAAATTTAAAAGTATAGTAAGTCATAAAGAATCC